CTGGACATGTTTGCAGATGTCACTGTGGTTAGAGCGTGCGTCATGATGTCAGGCTAGCTTGAACGCAGCCCCAACCCGGGTCTTCCTCTAGCTGTGGGATTGTGCACAATTCACCTCACTTCTCAAAGTCTCTGTTCCCAGTACTGTAAAGTCAGGGCGACAATAGTTCCTGCCACGTGAATTGCTGTGGTGTCAAGTGGGCAGTGGATGTAACTGCCTAGCCCAGCATCTGCCACCCGCGATAGGCACACGATAACGCTCAGCTTTAGAATAGAGCAAACACGTCAGCAGCCATGCCTCCCTTGTGAGTGTTCCTTTGGAGCGGGAACCTCCCCAGCTAGCAGGTGGATACATGTGCAAGTAAACTGACCATGGCATGACAAAGTACATTGCCACCCAGGATGTGCCCAGGAGTGTTCTTTGTAAACCATAGCTCTTGCACCAAAGCGTAACCTAGGGCTGCCATGTTGTACAACTCCAGGCTCATCATTCACATCATAGCCCGTGCGGGTGGCGCCCCCTGGAGTTGTGCAGGACACAACCTGCAGGGCCACTTACAATGAATGCCCAGAAGCAACTGTTAGGGAATAAATAACATACAGTCTGTGTCTCAGCACCTGGCGTGGGAAATTGAAGTCACAAAGTCAGGTGTGCCTGCCATATTGTGGTTTTTGTTGGTGGTTGCCTTTTTTAGTGCTTTCCGACCCACAGAAAGGGAGGTTTGGAAACCAGCTGTTTTATTCACAGCGGTGGTGTTCTTATAAAGCAGCTGGGTAAGGAAGCCTACGTCACCCAAATGCATGAACTATGGCAAGTCTAACAGAAACGCCCAGAATAAAGAACAGGTTGACCCCACCCCCTTCCTCGTGCATGGCGGTTCTATCAGCCATGACTCACAGCCAAGCTTTGGGCTAACAGTGACCACAGGGCCAGCAGGGAGCTCCACAGTGCTAAACATGACCGCCCATGTTTGGGCTTCCCTTTAGCCTGCTTTGCCCAGTTCCCAGTCCAGCCAGACTCTCCCAGGTGACTTCTGGATACCGTCCTTTGTCCTTCATGCAATGTCATGATATCCTGTCCAACATAAAGAGCGCCCTCTATGGGCCTGTATTCCTTGTTGCTCTGCGCTGTAATGGGGATTCTCTACAGAGTACAATGAAGAAGCAAGGGTTTTGGAGTTCCACAGACCCAAGTTCACATTCCAACTGCAACTTAACCTTTCTGAACTTCAGTTTCCAATTTCTGCCAAACATGGACTCATTGATCACAGATCCTTTTTCCCCCTTCAGAATTTGTATAGAGGTTGTCAGGACCACCCCTATCATTGTATAAATCGATGCCCAATCATATATTTATGTCAGTATGGACTCGTGTATTTATCATATTAATTGGGTTATAATCCAACCTCCGGTATCTATTTTGTTGCCCAAACTAGTCCAGCTTTGGTCCCTGGGAACTCTTTCAGGTTGGTTGCTGTGTCCTTTGAATGTCCCCACACTTTTATTTTGGGACACTTCCTTACTTTCCAGTATTACAAGGTGTGCCAGGTTTGTAATGTATTTTTCTCTCTTCAGTCCCAGAATCAGTCAAAGGCCTTTTCCCTTACGCTCTGTTTACCAGTTGTTCCGTTCAGTTCAGTTGTTCCATTCAGTTCAGCCGGCGACCACCGACAGTGAGTAACAGGCTCTTGGCCGGGCACAGCCCGTGACTGGCAGTAAATGTTTGCTGACTGACTGAAAAAAAGAGAAGTATGCACATATAGTATAAGGTTTCCTGGCATCAAGAATGTGGAGCACATTCTTTACAAATAATAATAAAACATACAGTATTCTTTCTTGTAAATTCCATACAGCCAGTTGAATCTCATGGAATGCTTTCATTGACTGTGGCTGTGAACTCTTACATCATTGCAACTGACAAAGGAGTGAGTTCCCCACCTGAACGTTGGTGGGTATTTTTGTTGGCTTTTATGAGTAAGAACAAGGTAAAATAAGAAAGATGTGTGTCGGCACTTAACATGCTTAACGTGAGTGACTTCCTGACTGCATTGGATCATAGCTTTCAAATACTGGAAGGATATTCCTCAGTTGTTTTGTGTGACTCGTAATGTTAACAGCTACAGACACAACATGTTTTTATATAATCTGCATTGTTAACACCTTCCCCCATCACTGACTTAAGTGTAGACAAAAAAAAAAAATCAAGCTCTGATTTACAGTGTTTCTTGATTTCTCCGGTGTAAACACTTCCACCATGGCCAATTTCAAGGTACCACTGAAACATCACCAAATACAGAGATGCAAAGAGATGAGTGGTAGCACATCAGTATATAGCATTTCCAACGTACACATACAGTAGATTTAAATAACCTCATATAGCTAATAAACTATAGTAAAATAATTAGGAAGGGGTGANGGGCCCTCTGGCATCCCAAGCGAGCTCTTAACCATCGCGCCACTCGGCCAGCCCGTGAGCATCTTTTTCTTGATCTGAACCCAATTTGGCCACTGGATGGAGAAACACCCCCTTTCACTTATTCTCTCATTTCAGAGCTTTCCTGAGCAAAAGTGACCCGCCTTGCCCAGGTACATGGACAAGGATGAATAATTCCCACATATCTTTTTTTTATTTAGCTGAAATATGTTTGACATATAACACTGTACAATCCCCACAGATCTTTGGGTGTTGGCAGGTCACAATTTGAGGGTTGTTTAAAATGGCTGGTGATATCTGGGAAAGGGGTTTCTGTGCAAAGAAATTATCTAGAAATATTTACACTGACTCATCATCTGTTGCCTTCCCCTACCCCTTGACCTTCACTTATACCTGAAGGAGACTATTTTATAACAAGGCATATCTGGCCTAGAGGCTGCAGTTGGCTTGAACTCAAACGGAGTTTCCTCCGCTCACATTTCAGTTTCTTAAATACCCTGTCGCCTGCAGAGCGTGCAGCCAGAAGCGTAAGCCGCGTGGCGGGTTGATTTATTGGTCTGATTATTTTACCTGCTCTCCGTGATCCCTCTGACAGTATTGCGTAATGATTTGCTCTCAAACATCTTTGATCCACTGCAATATCGCCAGAAACTGCTTCGCTCCATGAGCCCTTGTCCACCTGCGCTAATTAGCAGCCCAACTATCATCCTGAAGCAATCACTCCTCCTAGAACTATTAACTTTCTTAGGATTCAGGGCCTGTTTATTACACAGGATAACAGATGTTAAACGTCTTGGTATTTATGCCAATCATAGACAATATGGGTATTTGTTTTGGTAGTGAAAGATAAGGGCTCTGAAGACTATTTGGAGTTTTCCCGCAATCTGAAATCCTAAAACTCGGATACTTAGATTGAAATATTTTATGTTTCAGAAGCGCTGGCATCTTTGTGGGGGGTACGGGTATGTTTTCCCATCCCTTCTGGGAGTTTGTGTTGTGCCTCTGGTATCATTGCAAATAGAAGTATTAAGCTGAGAAGAACAAGAAACATTTTTTTTTAATTATGCCAAGCACCTTTTATAGAAAAGTTAATTTCCCCCACAGAGAACAGTAGGAGTTAAAAGAAATTTGTTCACTCCATGTTTCCAAAGCACAAAGGTGCAGAAGTATAGCCTTGGGGGGGGGAGCGGGAACAGAGTGACCTGTGTCCCCCCACCACCACCTTCTAGCCTTGCCCCCCAATGTCTCAGATGCCACAGGGAATAAGTGTGACTGTCCCAAATGTCACAGAAGCTGAACCATGATGGTGCATGAAATGAGTCAGAAAATGAAGTGAAACCTTGATGGTTCTCTTCATCCTACCGGAGTAATAATGACAAGATTTCCAGGGACAGAAACCGAGAACAAAGACCACGCGTGCCATCTGGTGGCCAGGGCCTTACCCACGTTCTGTGAGCATGCCCCGCCCCCATCAGTTTTTAATGTTCTTCCTACAACGTGACATGACAGTTCACAGGGATTCCTACATTTCCTCTTAATAACAATTACACTGGTGTTTTAGTGAGCCTAGACAAGGCTTACACGTGCACAAAAATGTTACCAGTCTGCCTTTTCCCGAGACAGACGAGAGAAGCTGAAGCAAAAACACACGGCGGGTAGTCAGGTGAGAGGATAGTCAGAGCCGACACCTGCATACCGTGTGCCAGGCATGACCCGAGCCCTTGTACGTATCCTAATAATTCAAATACTTTGAACTATCAGATCGGGACCGTCATCACCAATTTACAGCATGGAAAGTTGAAACAATTTTGTGTCCTCCCCGTGTTTACACCTCCCGGAAGTGGCAGCGACAGAATTTGAAGCCCATGGTCCGCTCCCGAGTCCATGCTGTGCTTTACAGCTTCCAGCTTCACTGCTGGTTCCTAGAGCCGTGCAGCCAGGCAGCTAAAACTAGATTTGACCTGTAACTCCACCCTGTGACCGGCCGTGTGACCCTGAGCAAGCGACCTCGCCTCTCTTGAGTCCCAGTTTGCTTACTTGCAAAATGGGAACCTTAATGGGACCATCATCCTTGAGTGATGCTGTGAGGGGCTATTGAAGAAACAGCATCTGTGAACGGGCTGAAGTGTTCTGTGCAATAGAAACGATCGTTATTAGCATTGGAGTGAATTAATTTTATAACCTGCTCCCCTCTCTTGAACTTCGCTCTGCGTCCAATCAGGGCTGGATGGTCTGGAACCAAGGGCTGGTCTGTTTATGGCTCAGGGTCCAAAGGCCATAGGAAGGCTCGTTGAGGGATCAGGTGTCCTCGGCCCCCCAGTGGTAGCTGTGCCTGAGCCTCTGTGGGCACAAAGATAACATGCGTGTTTTGATGGCAAGTCACTGAAGGAGCAGGCCCCCTGCTGTCCCTTCCACTAGTTAAAACTGAAAAGCTTGGTTCCTCAACACCCCCACCCGAGATCAGCCCAGCTCTGTTTGTCCAACCTTGGAGAAGTACCAGTGTGCACTGCAGGCCCGGGCTGCCCCGCACCTCCCCGCTGACTGTGTGTGTATTGCCTCGTCCACAGGTCAGTGAGCTACAGAAAGGCTACAGCCAGGTGCTGGGCCAGACCCTGTCTGAGAGGAACTCGGAAATCACATCCCTAAAGAATGAGGGTGAGAACTTGAGGAGGGACAACGCCATCGTGTCAGGTGAGCTCTCTCAGGAGTCGGCCAAGAGCTGCCACCCTCCGCCTCAGTCCAAGGCCATGGCAGACATCACCAATCAAGCACTGCACCTCTGCTCACTGAACCAGGGTGTGGCCTCAGAGACCTCAGCAGCCCTGTCAGCAGCCAGTGTCAGTGAATTAGAGTTTGTCCTCAATTGAGGTTCATTGCCATCTGGTTTGAGTGGGGCAGGGCCTGATAAATACCTGAGTGAATGTTCTTTCTTAGCTAGACGGTCCATTGCGCCCCGGCCTCCCCGGGGAGACAGGATGTTGTGTAGCTTGGTCAAGTTCCATAAGCCAGTTGGCCATGAATGCAAACTAGAATGTGGACAAAATGGGGTCACCGCTTTAAAGCCCCCATCTCACCCTAGCACACTGGGCCCAAGTGGAAACATTTTTCTAATTGGCCAACAGAGGTAGTGCCACACTAAAGAACTCGGATGGCACGACTGTTTCTTAGCCCGGACTCCTTGAGTCATTCAACATGTTTATGGAGCACCTACTAGGTGCCAGGGCCTGTTCCAGGCGCCAGGGGGAGAGCCCTGAGCAAGACAGGTCACTATACTGACAGGACTCACATTTGGGAATGGGCAACAGACAAAAACAAATAAACCGATGAGTAAACAGCCCATTTCAGAGACGACTGGGCAACATGGTGGCGAAGTGCTTCAGGGGGTGAGGTGAAGGGAGAATAGCTTTGTGGGTGTGCAAGGACAGGTCTCTGAGGAGGTGAAAGGGGGAGCTGTCAGGAGACCAGTGGGAGGTATTCCAGGCAGAGAGATTGAAGTGCAAAGGCCCTGAGGCTGTAGCAAGTTGACTGTGTTGGGAGTAGGGCTGGGGTGATCGGAATTAAGGGGCTGGAGGAGGCAGGGGCCAAATCTCAGGGGGGAGTCTGGGGAGTATTTAAGCAGAAGCCATCGAGATTCTTTTAAGAAGAAAATGACGCCTAGAGACCTGAAGAGGATGGGCCGTTAAAAGAGAAAGAGGGGAGGAGAAAGCAGGTGATGGGGAGCAGGCAGTGAGTCTGGGCTGGGCCTATTGCTGCTGTGGTACCCAGCAACCCAGCAGGAAATGCGTTCATTGCTGTATGAGCCAGGCATAGCACTGAGCCACGTATGAACCTCCGTCTCTATCTGAATCTGTGCTGTGCCTCAGGCCACCCCGACCTCCGGCTTTTCCTCTGCCTCATCCTTGACACACACATACCCCATTCCTCCCCCACCCAACAGGCCTCTGCTTATGCTCCTCTCTAACTTGGAATATCCTGAGATATTTGCTGAGCGCCTTCTAAGGGCCAGGCGCTGCTCTGGGCACCAGGAATACAAGGATGAACTCGCTGGGCCCTTGCCTTCCTCCCCTACATCTGCTCATCAGAGCTCATTCGTGCTTCAAGCCTGTCTCAGATACCACTTCGTCACTTTGTGTGGTCCTCGGGCCAGCAGCATCGGCAGTCCCTGGGCCCATGTGGGAAATGCAGAACCTCGGGCCTCAGCCCAGACCTCCTGAGTCGGAATCTGCACTTGATCAAGATCCCAGGTGTTCCGTAGGCACATTCAAGTTTCAGAAGCACGGAGCTGGGTTATGCTGCGTGACAAATAGGCCCCGAGCCTCTGTTGTCCACAGTTGGCTGACAGCAGTGGCGATGACGGTAATTTTTATTGCCTCTTTCACCTCTGTATTTTTTTTTTTTGAAACAGGGATGGTGTCATCTTTGCAGAAAGACATGTTAGCAAAGGATGAGCAAGTTCAACAACTCAAACAGGAAGTGAACCAGCTAAGAAGTGAGAACCAAGAAAAAGGTCACCAGCTCGAAGCCCTCAGTTCCAGAGTGAGTATTGGCGCCATCACCCTATTGCACCTGCCAGCCACTAGGAGACGTACTCATCTCATTTACCTTGGGTCCACTCCACCCCTTAAATGTTCCTGCCTCCTCTCACACCTTGGTGAGGTGAGGCCAGTGCCCAAGGGCATAGGGAACATAGCTACTGGGTGCATCAAGTGCCCAGCCGGAAAGATAACAGCTGGGGGCCAAGTTCTTTGCACGTTTTCAAAGAATAGCGTCTATGTGGCTCAGAATAAGCAAGAGGTATATTCAAATTCAGCGAACATTTCCAACACCTATTATAAGTTAGTTTGTTTAACCTCAAGAACAAACACATTATTAGCATGTCTTGCCGCTGCAAGGCTTAACATTAACACAGAATAGGGTCTCTCTGTGGGCAAGGAGTACAACAATGGCGTCATCATGGTCCCGATCACCACTGGTTTTCGTAGCTGCCTCCAAAGCAGAATGTTTGAGAGTCCAGATGAGAGACACGCTGACTCTCATTTCTCCCTTTAGACTTGAGTGTGTATGAGAAGTCCCCTGTGTAAAATGAGCTTGGTAGGCAAGTTAGGAGCTTTTTAAATGTGACTTTTGGCTACTTGCAAATTTTGCCTTCAGTCCTGACTTTAGAATCCTCATCCTATAGGGTAACACTTCTCCATATTTGTAGGATTTGTCTGTTTCAATGAGTCAAGATAAAATCTAATAGCTTTCGGGGGGCCAGCTGAGTGACTCAGTTGGTTAAGAGCACGAGCTCTGAGCAACAGGGTCGCCAGTTCAATTCCCACATGGGCCAGTGAGCTGCGCCCGAGCTGAGCTGCCGCTGAGCTGCCAACAGGTGGCAGGATAGCTCAGCTGGTGAGAGCATGTGCTCCTAACATACAACAAAGTTTCCCATTTGACTCCTGCATGCGATGGTGGGCTACGCCCAACTGCAACTAAAATCGAACACAGCACCTTGAGCCGAGCTGCCCTGAGCTGCAGACGGACGGCTGGATGGCGACTGGACTTGGAGCTGAGCTCGCTGCACCCTCCACAGCTAAGACTGAAGGACAACAACTTGGCTGTTCTCCTTCCCCAATTCCCCAATAAAATCTTAAAAAAAAAAATTCTAATAGCTTTCATCTCAGGTGGCAACTCAGATAGGTTCACAGCGCCTGCTGATGAGCTAGCTCTGTGTCTGCGTGGGTGCAGGGGTGGGAATAGATCTTGACATTCCAAAGAAAAGACAGAAGAAGTAATATCTGGTGCTTCGTACGAGACTCAGTTTGGAGGTGGTGAAAGGCAGAGCCTGAGCTTTGGGGTCAGACACGCCAGGGCCCAACCCAGAACTTCCTTTTATTGTAACCTACTTGGCCTCCATTTCCCCACCTGTGACATGGGGATAGCAAAATCATTTTCTAAGGAGTGGGAGGCTGATTTGAATTATGCTCTTCTGCCTCTGCCCCTGGTCAGCCGCCTCACCAAGCCCTCTGCCCTCATCTCTCACGAGCACATTGAGTCTTCCTAGGTTCTTGTGATCACTGTTCCATGTGCAGTGTGTGTGTGAGTGTGTGTGTGTGTGTG